GAGATACAGGAAACTTTGGGGCCAGGGCACTGAAAAGCCACGTGTGGGGCACCTGGGCGGCTCAGTCGGTTAAGCGTCTGCTCAGGTCATGATCTCGCGGTTCGGGAGTCTGAGCCCCGCGTCGGGCTCTGTGCCGACAGCTCGGAGCCTGGAGCTGCTTCCGATTCTGTGTCCCTCTCTCTCTGCCCCTCCTTCGCTCACGCTCTGTCTCTCAAAAGTGCACGTTAAAACAAAAATGCAAAGACATAACTAAATAAAAGCCACGTGTGACTTCCTCTCCCCTGCCACGCTGGATCCTGAAGCTACACGTGACGGCAGAAACGGCCCCGAGTGACTCCTCGCCGTCGAGCCCCGCAAACCACGTGGACACGAGCGGGAGAGAAACGTCCGCCGCGTTCAACCACTGAGGTCTGGTGGCTCCTTGTCACCCGGCACCACGTAAGCCCTGCTGCTCGACAGCACTCCGACTCTCCCGGCCACCCCTGCACAATGCAGTCCTCCGGGGTCCAGAGGAGGAAAGGGAGGCGGAGGGACGGGATGCCACTCGCCCTCGGCCGCACAGCCTTCCGCGGTAACAGCGCCCGAGAAAAGCAACAGCCCTGGTTCCCCAGCCCGGGACAGAAAGGTAGTTGCGATAAGCACATTTATTTCCCCGAAGTCCACCTGCCCGTCCAGCGCCGTGTCCAGCAGGGGAAGATGGCAGGGAGCCAGCCAGAGGGCAGACGAGGCTTGGCGCTCACGGGTATGAACGGAGACGGGGTCCCGGGCTCTCTGTCCTGGATGCCCCTCCCCCAGGAGCCAGGCCAGGGGCGCAGGAAGATGGGGGGGGGGTGCTCAGTAAACCACCTCGTACACCGTGGCCTTCTTGTCCCCCGAGCCCGTCACAATGTACTTGTTATTTCCGGAGATGTCACAGCTCAGCACGGAGGATGACTCCTTGGACTATGGGCAGGGGTGGGGGAGGGAGAGAAGGGGAGGTGAGGCGTGGCCGATACTAGCACCGTCTGGTGTCCGGTCCGTGCCCCGACCGCCCTGCACGACGTTCAGAGGGAAGAGGCAGGGCCAGTGGGATTGGGTGGACAGGTGACAGATCCTGGGAAGGGCGGGTCCCCTGTTCTCCTGACACCAAGAGAGCCGCAACTGAAGCCCCGCCCTTTCCTAGGAGGCTCAGAGAGGGTGTGGACCGGGCATGAGGCCACACAGCACAGCAGAGGGCCAGCCGAGGCTTACAGCGCAATGACCCTACACCAGCAAACGTTTCCTGTAAAGGACCCGGCAGTAAGTTTTCAGGCTTTGCCAAAGGTCCAAATGAGTCTCTAGCCAACAAGTCCGGGGGCCAAATAAATCTACGTCACATTATCGTCCTTTCGTTTTACACCCCCTTAACGATGTAAAACTCCCTGCACGCCCACTACAATGGCTGTAACAAAAAAAGACACAATAACAGGTTGTTGAGGACGCGGAGAGTTTTGAACCCGCGAACACTGCTGATGGGATGGAAAAGTTGGAGGACAGTCCAGAGGTTAAACAGCTCCCAGCAATCCCACCCCAAGACCTCTCTGCCCACGAGCAATGAAAACACGTCCACGGCAGCGCGACTCACAGCAGCCAGAAACAAAGCGGAAACAAAGCCGGTGTCCATCAAGTGGTGGATGGATAAGCAAGACGCAATCCATCCAGACTACAGGCTGTGACCCCACCCCAGGAAGGAAGGACAGCCTGCTGCCTGCCACCACATGGGCGGACCCGGAGGACACTGAGCAGTGACAGAAGCCAGACACAGAAGGACACGTCCCGCGTGACCCCATCACAGGGGGTCCCCAGGGGAGTCCCGTCCAGAGAGACAGAGGGCAGACGGTGGGAGCCAGGGGATGGGGCAGGGGGCGGGGAGTCCGTGCTTCCTGGGGACAGAGCCTCAGTTTGGGG